TCTGGGCCCCGCCCGTAAGCGAGTCCTCAACCTCCGAAGAAGAAGTGCAAGGGTTGGCCATGATGTTGGCCTGCTCGAGCTCGTCGAAGCTGGGAGCGTCCTTGATGCTGGGTGCCGTCTCCACGGCGCGTTCGATGTACTCCGCTGCGGCGAGGCCCGTCCCATCAATCCCAACGAAGAATGGATAAAGCTTCATGGATAAGTCGCTCGCAAAGCGCTGCTCCCTGGAATAATTGCGTCCCCATATCCAGCCCGCCCTTCCAAACACTCCCTAGGAATCCCTCTGCCACTGTGCGACAGACTCCAGAGGCGCGTGAGCCAGGTGAGGAGGGCGATAGCTCTCTCTCTCCTCCTGAGTCCTTGGGATCAGGACCATGAGCGCGGGGAGAAATTACCAGGGCCAGGCGAGATCCTCAGCGTGGTGAAAAGGTCCTTACGAGCAATCTGAGGGTCAAATTTCCTGGATGTCCCTGGGCCCCATGTTGTCAAAACATCGGCCCGTCATCGGCGGAACCTGGGTGAGGCAGGAGCGGAGGTGGTCCAAAGTGAGGGGCGGGGGGTCTCCTATTGGGAGACAGTCCTGGCTCGCTACTAGGCCTGGCTGACCCTAACCCAGGCACGGTATGGGTCAGGGGTCAGGGGCAGTCACTTGTTTGGTCCATCTCTCCCTTGTGCAAAGTCCATGACGACGAGGAAAAGAAGGAGGACGAGGTGGCAGAACAAACGTTCAGGGGGGAAAGGAAGAGGCAGAAGAAGTGGGGAGGAACTGGGAGTGAGGAGGAGAAAAAGAGGAGGAGGAGAAAGACAAAGGGAGGAGAAGGAGGAGGAGGAGGAGGAGCGAAGGGGGGGAAGAGGGTCGACGACGAGACCGAGGAGGAGGAGGAGGAGGAGGAGGAGGAGGAGGGGGAGGAGGGGGAGGAGGAGGAGGAGGAGGAGGAGGAGGGAGGAAGAGGAGGAGGAGGAGGAGGAGGAGGAGGAGGAGGAGGAGGAGGAGGAGGAGGGGGAGGGGGAGGGAGGGAGGAGGAGGAGGAGGAGGAGGAGGAGGAGGAGGAGGAGGAGGAGGAGGAGGAGGAGGAGGAGGAGGAGGAGGAAGACGAGAACGAGGACGAGGCCCTGGCCAAGGAGGCCGCACCCAGGGAGGCCGCGGTCCGCGCGCTGCGCCGCGAGCGCGCGCGCACGGCGGCGGCGGCCGGCAGACGCCCGGGGCAGCCGCCTGCTGTCGGGCGTCTGGCTCAAGGCCGCGCGCGGGGTCGGGGAGGAGCGGCGGCTCGCCCGCCGTGCCTCCGGACCTCCCCTCCCTCCGTTTCTTCCCTCCTTTCCTTCCCTCCTCTCCTCCCTCCTCCTTTTCCTCCTCTCCTCCTCCTCCTCCTCTCCTCTCCTCCTCCTTCCTCTCCTCCCCCCCCCTGCTCCTGCTCCTGCTCCTTCCTGTTCCTGTTCCTCCCTCCCTCTCCTCCTCCTCCTCCTCTCCTCCCTCTCCTCCTCCTCGTTCTCTCTCCTCTTCTCCTCCTCCTCGTTCCTCCCTCGCGCCGGCCGCCCTCCCGCCCCCCCCGCCCCCCCCCCCTCGGTTCATTATGGTTACCTCCCGCCCGCCCCCCGCTCTCCTCCTGCAGCCTCATGCTCTGACCTTTTCCTCCTCGGCCGTTTCATCCTCCTGTTACACGTCAGTGCTACCATCCCCCTGAAGCCCGTGTCCTTGTGAATGTTTCCTCCCTGTCGCACCCCCAGTCGTGGGCCTCAGGAGAGCCGAGGAGGAGGGCAAGCTTCTTGAGGGCGGCCTCCAGCGCGTCTTTGGTAGCCTGCCCAACCAAGCATCCAAACAAACCTGCTCCTCTTTCTGATATCCCACAAGCCTGGGGAGCCCCTACACGGGAACAAGGGCTGCCTGAAACGCGTCACTCTCCTCTCTTTCCAATTGAGGCCCACCCAAGAACAAAATCGGGAATGGAGAGCTGACCACATGGGTACGGCAGCTGTGTCTTCGAGCCAGCCCTGCAACTTGGTCAAAACCGAAGGAACTTGCTGGACTCCGGTGTAATATCCACGTGCACCTCAGCTTCGTCAGAGCATCTCGGGCTGCCTCCCATGGTGTGAAAAAGACTCCGCTGCCAAGCAACAGCGCATGCAGGCTCGACCTACCTCTCGGCTCGCTTGGTCAACTTGCTTACACTCGGGTCTGCCCATACATGCCTCGAGGAACGTGGCGACCCGAGTCTCATGGAACTCATGGGGTCTGCCTGGCCCCACAACTGGGAGAAAAAGCTGCAGGCTGCGCGAGGACCCAATGGCTTCTCGCCGCCTGACCTTTGTCTCGTGGCCGCGACCAAGAAAAAAGGACCCAATGGAGCTGCTCGAACCTCTGTCAGAACCCCTGAGAAACCTCCGTGCGGAAGGGCCCAAGGGGACCTGGAGCCCCACCGGAGCTCCAATATGGAGCTGAGAGCTTCCAGCAGGGAACGAAATCAATGGTCCTGGTTGCGCCAGGGGCTGCTACTGGTGGGGCTCGGAAGGTGCCCTTCCCCCCAAAAATGTGGAGGACGCTTCCCACGACTTCCTCCACCTCCATGTTCCAATCTCCCGCGACATTGAAAGGCATACCCTGTCCACGCACGTATCCAGCGACCTCTGCTAAGATAGCGGCGCTCTCCCCATGCAGGCCTAGCCCAGTGACTAGGTAGATGGTAACAACAAAGATGTCGAGACCACGAATGCGGACCTTGGCTGGTCCACTGGGGCTCAAGCGGCACGCGATGTAAGCACTTCTTGGTCATGGTCCAGGCTCCTCCGTGATAGCCGCCGCGGGAGGTGCCCACTGCCAGTTGCGAACTGTTCGACCAGCCACACTTCCAGCAGGCGGTGCCCGGCAATGGGATGGCACCAGCCTCGGCGAAGTCCCCAGCCTCTTCATTCAGGTAGTCCCAGGCCTTCTGACTCCAAGACGTGGCGTTGGCGAAATAGAAAGCAGTACTGCTGATCCTTCTGGCCTTCTTCTGTTTGCACAATCTTTTCTGCTCGGGTGTCGCGAGCCACAACACCTGCTAAAGCCTCGTCCGCTGTCGCCTCCCATCGCGCTCACTTGGGCTGGACCACGCGGCCGTCCTGGAAAAAGAAATCCATGGCCCCGCCCGAAGGAGAACCTCATCCCGGGCCATGCGGAGCGCAACTGACCCAGCAATTCCCCCTCCAGTCAACCCTGTGACCTTTCTTGAGGGCGTCGCTGGGTCTGGGTTCCACGCTAAATACGAGAAGGACCAATGCCGGGAATGCCAGCCGAAGAGGCGTTAAGTTTGCCGCCCTTGGACGCGAGTTCCTTGGCCTTGGCATAATGCTTCTGGACCTCGTCGGGCTTGAACTTTGGCACGTCACCCGAGCCCGCAGCCGAGGGTGGAGGCGCCTCCAAGTCTCGATCCCATTTTGTCACTCCACAACTTCAACAACCGGAACATCCATTCTAGAAGGCGCAGCAGCCGCATTGTCTGCGTCAGTAGATCCACCGCTTGCGTGAGGAGCAGACGAATTACCTTCACGGCGTCGGCGTTTGGCCTGTATCCTGCTATTGAACTGTTTCTGCGCCTCCAGTATGGTACACGCCGTATCCTTGGGCTGTGCGAAGGACTCGCTGGTGGCCTCCTGCGCCCCTGCGCTTCTCGAGTTCGTCGCGATCCTCGGTGGTGATCTCGACATGTTCCAAGCCGTTCAACCCGGAAAAAAACGCAGCCATCGAAGTTAATATCCTTTCCGGATAATCAGCAGATCCACCAAGCTGATATCATGCAGCTGACTTTGCATGTCGGTCGGTAGGGCAAACTTTCGCCGCCAAGCCAAGCGCAGTCTCCTTATATATTGTCTCGCACTCCTGGTATATTAGATAGTGTAAACTCATGCCGCTGCCGCACGCACTTCACGCGCCTGCTGCTCGATCGCCACACCCTTGTTCACGCACCTGTCGAGCTGCCCCCCTGCTCCATCGCGTGCTTGGCTGCTCCAACAGACGGCATGGCTGGAGCCGAAACCGACTCCAACTCCTGAACTACCGACTCGTAGGGACCTGCCCCTGCACTCGAAACTTCGGCAGATGGTCGACCGTGTAGCCACCAGACTTGGGAGTACACAGTGCCGAAGTCCCCCCGGACTTCTGGATTTGTAGCCCCACTGGAGGAGCACCTCCTGCAGGTGTAGGCCGAGCATCAACAGCCAGAAGAAGCCCATCAGAGACCGACCGAAGACCGCGTCCGCCCCACATTCCTGGTGGTTTGCTGCTCTGCCAGTCGGAGGCCTGCACCTCGTTGCGGACGCCCCCGAAGTGCTTGCACCACTGGCGCCAGTCATCATGCTTGCTGCATCCGCATGAGAGGCACTTCCAGTTCGCTTTGGGCCAGTCGGCCCACTTCCCATTCTTCCAGGAGGAAACACTGGTAGTACTCCACCCACGTCCATCCTTGGAAATACTAGTGGCACTCCACCCACGTCCATGGCGCCCCATGTGAAGGTGAGGTCCCGTATAGCGAAGCGAGGCAGCGTGCGTGTGAGGGATGACGTCCCTCCGCCTGATTCCCCGACAGGCGTGTAACTGAATGTAAGTGCCGAGCCTGCGTTGGTAGAAATAGCATTTCCTCAGCCTCCTGCTCCTCCTTCTTCTCCTCCTCATCCTCTTCCTCGTCATCCTCCCCCTCGTCCTCCTCCTCCTCCTCGTCCTTCTCCCCCTTCCCCTCCCCATTCCCCTCCTCCTCCTCCTCCTCATCCTTCTCCTCCTCCTTCTCATCCTCCTCCTCTTCCTCCCCCTCCCCATCCCCCATCCCCCTTCCTCATTCATCCCCCTCCCTCCTGACTCATCCTCCTCCTACTCCTCCCACCCCTCCTCGTCCTCCTCCTCCTCCTCCTCCTCTTCCTCCTGTTCCTCTTCCTCGTCTTCCTCCTCTTCCTCCCTCCTCCCTCCCCCGAGGCGCGCGCTTGCGCGAGAGATCCGCCAGCGCCCCGCACCTCGAGGCAACGCCGCGCAAGACTCACGCGCACTGCACGCACTCCCAGCCTCCGTCGTCCGCCTCGGGGCGCGGGGGCGGGGGCGCGAGCAGGCAAAAATGCTGAGCACGAAGCGCACTCGAACGACGAGAGGAACAGGGCCGCGCGCGAGACGACACCGCGGCCCCACGCCGCGGCCCACGCGGGCCGCCAGCGCGGCACACCGCGTGGAGAGAAGGGCGTTTACGCGCAGCCGCACGCGGAGAGCTGACGCGCGGGTGTCGGCGCTGTCGACTCCATGTTTTCACCGCTGCTCACAGCGAAGACGAAGCGACCAGGAACGGCCAAACTGCTGAGTGAGAGACGCACACGCCCCGAAGGGAGGGACGCATCGAAGAAACAGCGGCAAAACCGAGGCGCATCCACGGCCGAGATAAGGGGGCCACATGCGAACCCTACCCCTACCTCCCACGATTTCTGAGGGGGAGGGTGGGGTTCACTCCGTTCGGGAGCTCCCGACCGAAGTGAACCCCACCCCACCCCTCAGAAATCGTGGGGGTAGGGGTAGGGTTCGGATTTGGCACCCTACGAGAACCTTCCAGGAGAAGACGAAGAGAAGGCGGGGATGGCCGCTCGGCGGAGCCGAGGAGGGGTGGCATGCCGTGGGGCGGGCACTGCACGTATAGGACGAAGCCAGACGACACAACCTCGAAAGCCATTAAGAACCCCCCTGGGTTATCGTTAGCACCGAACCGACAATAATTAACACGCGGGGCTGATTTCACGGAGCGATATCTTTGCCACCGCACCAGGTCACAACACATGAACACGTGCTGTCCTTCTCTTTGTTTGTCTCTCTCTCTCTCTCGCGCCTTCCCTCCCTCTCTCTATCGATCATGTTCGTTGCTGTGCAGGTTTGTTTGCGTGCTTGCTGATAGAACGTGTATTTGAACGTTGATTTCCATTCGGCCCTCATGCGGGGTAGTCCATTGCTCACGTTGGGCAGCAGACTTCCTCCTCCTTGTTCCTCTCTCTCTCTCTCTTTCTTTTCCGCCCCCGCCCTATGCGATTCCGACAGCAATGCTGAATGAGACTTTGTTGTTCGTCGGCTGTCCTAAGGGGGTGGCCCATCAAATAGTATCGCCAGCGCCCCGCACGGAGCGTTACTTTTGCACAGGGGAACGCCGAACATACTTCAGTCTCGTCCTTCGGAAGAATTGGGTAATATGAAAAACAGTAATAATGATAGCAGCAGCAGCAGCGGCAGCAGCAGCAGCAGCAGTAGCAGTAGTAGTAGTAGTAGTAGTAGTAGTAGTAGTAGTAGTAGTAGTAGTAGTAGCATTAGTAGTAGTAGTAGTAGTAGTAGTAGTAGTAGTAGTAGTAGTAGAAGTAGCACTAGCAGTAGCAGTAGCAGTAGCAGTAGCAGTAGTAGTAGTAGCAGTAGTAGTAGTAGTAGTAGTAGTCGTAGTAGTAGTACTAGTGGTAGTAGTAGTAGTAGTAGTAGTAGTAGTAGTAGTAGTAGTAGTAGTAGTAATAATCGTAGTAGTCGTAGTAGTGGTAAGCAAGTAAGTCAGCATGACGGTAGGTTACACAATCAGTAAATAGGTCGGTGGGTACGTAGCCGTAGCAGTGGTAGTAGTAATAGCAGCAGTACTCGCTGTAGTATTAGTACCAGTAGTAATGGTACAAGTACTAGTAGCAGAAGTAGTAGCAGTAGTCGTAGAAGTGGTGGGAGTAGCAGTACTAGTAGCAGTAGTAATAGTAAGTGTGAGAATAGTAATAGGGAGTAGTAGTAGGAGTAAGAGTAGGAGTAGTACTATGAGTAATAATATTAGGCGTAGTCGTAGTCGTAGTAATGAGATTACTAGTCGCAGTAGTCGCAGTAGTCGTATGAGTACTAATAGTAGTCGTCCTCGTACTAGCCGAAGTATTCGTAATAAAAACAATAATGATAATAGTAGTAGGCGTGATACTAATAAGAATAATAAAACTGGGATTAGAATGCTAATACGAATACTACTGGTAGTAATACAACTGTTATTAGTAATCCGTATAATAGTAGTTGTAGTCGTAGCACTATAGAGCGAGTAGTAGTAGTAGTAGTAGTAGTAGTAGCAGCAGCAGCAGTAGTAGTAGTACTAGTAGTAGCGGTAGTAGTAGTAGTAGTAGTAGTAGTAGTAGTAGTAGTAGTAGAGTAGTAGTAGTAGTAGTAGTACTACTACTACTACTACTACTACTACTACGACTACGACTACTACTACTACTACTACTACTAACTACTACTACTACTACTACTACTACTACTACTACTACTACTACTACTACTACTACTAGCAGTAGGGCGCAGTAGTAATTCCCTGCCCTCCTCCTGCCTGTCCTCCTCCTCCCCCTCCTCCTCCTCCTCCTCCTCCCTGTCCTCCTCCTCTTCCTCTTCTTCCTCATCCTCATCCTCCTCTTCCTCTTCCTCCTTCTCCTCCCCTTCCTCACCACTTTCGAGGTCTGCTGGGAGCTCTAGAGGAGTGCAAAGCAACGCCCAAGTGACAGGATGCCAGGGGTCGGGCGCCGCAGCAACTCCAGAGCGCTCCAGAACGCTTTGTGAGCGTTCCGGAGTGCTCGGTTGCAACTCATGGGAGCCTCCGATACCATCTTGTCGGTTCTTGCGAATCGACGCTAATCGACGCTAAATCGACGCTAACCGTCTCTAAATCAGCGCTATCTCATCGACTCCAGACGCTAATTGTCTCTAGTCGACGCTAAAGACGGAATTAAAAGGATAATTACAATGGAGGCCAATCCACAAGAAACCTTCCACAAGAAGCCCGACCTGGAGATCCCAGGGCGTCCATCGATTCTTGGTGGGAACGTCACGCTTTCCACAGCAAAACCATCGAAGCCCACGAAACCCAGGGCACCCTGGAGGCGAGCAGGGTGTTTCTTAGCATGGGTCCCCAGTAGACCAGGCTCCCATGATCTGCCGCCGAAGGAGTGCTCTCGAGGCGAGTTGCCCTGGCCCTGGGCCCGCTCGAACGCGCTCGCAGGGGAGCCGCGCCGAAGACTCCGGCGAGGGGAGCACCTGGGCATCTGCAGTGCTCACCCCGGGCTGTCCGCCCCTGTGGTTCACCAGGTAAGGAGCCTTAACCCGTTGGGAGGGGTACTCAGTTAGGAGGGCCAAGAGCATTTGGGACAAGGGGGCCTTTTTTTTCTGCAGATGCATCGAGCCAAACCGCCCAGACATATCATCCCCAGTGTGATGACGGGGACCTCCGTAAGGCTACGTTTTCATCGCGTTATCAGGCCGAGTTTCTTGATAAGCGTCGGGGGGGCGTCACCCCCGCCAACAGCCCCACATCGATCCCCGTCGCGGGCAGTCACCGCGCGCCGAAGGCGCTCCGACCCCCGTCGCGGCGCGACGACGAAGCGAGGTTGACCCTCGTCGGGGGGTACCCCCCCACGCTTATTAAGCAACCCAGAGTAGGGGTTCTTTTATCCTCGAAGACCCTGTGCAACAGCCACCAAGGCTCCGGACGGGTGTGCCGTAGCCTTAGGTCGGGCAGGTCCTCCTACAGGCGGATTTCAGGCGAAAAATACACAAAAGAGTCGAAACAGATGCTCAAACAAAAAATCACTACCCCAGTGAGACCCTACCTAGAAGTTGGAGCCCCTGGGAAAGCAGCATTAGTTGCTATGCTATGCTATGCTATGCTATGCTATGCTATGCCATGCCATGCCATGCCATGCCATGCTATGCTGCGCTATGCTATGCTATGCTAAGCTGTGCTGCGCTATGCTATGCTATGCTAAGCTATGCAATGTCATGCTGCGCTGTGTTATGCTAAGCTATGCTATGTTATGCTAAGCTGCGCTATGCTATGCTATGCTAGGATGTGCTGCGCTATGCTATGCTATGCTATGATTGGCTATGTTCTGCTATGCTATGCTATGCTATGATATGCTAATGCAGCTCTGCGCTATGCTAAGCTAAGCTAAGCTAAGCTAACCCTCTAGGCAGAGCCTAGGTAGGGCTGTGCTGCGCTATGCTGCGCTGTGCTGAGCCTGTGCTATGATGTGCTGTGCTGTGCTGTGCTGCGCTATGCTATGCTATGCTATGCTGCGCTATGCTATGCTATGCTGGGCTATGCTATGCTATGCTGTGCTGCGCTATGCTATGCTACGCTATGCTATGGTATGATGTGCTCTGCTATGCTAAAGCTCGGCGAAGCTAAGATGAAGGTAAGCTAAGCTAAGATAAACCTGAGCTAAGATGAAGTTAAGCTAAGTTAAGATGAAATAAGCTAAGCTAAGATGAGATAAGCAACGCTAAGCTAAGGGGACGCAACCGGGGGAACCGCGGGGCGGATACTGGGGGACCCGCCGGGGCGGGTAGCATTGCCCGGCCCTTTAAGCACAGAGGGTAAGAACCCTTCTAGGCAGAGCCTAGGTAGGGAAGAAACAGTCCAAAAATCGTCCCCAGGCTATGTTTCGACTCTTCTGGGTTTAATGGGACCTGGTTTAGAGATGTGTACTGGGGGACGCCCCCCCCGCTCCGTTCCACTAACCGGAACTGCCGTCACCCGAAAAGCACGAGCTACGGCAAACATGGTTTAGTGATTCTGGCCAACTCAGGGGCTCTGGGGCCCTACCACTAACCGGGTCCCCTTACCTGGGGTCGTGGCTATACCCGACCAGGAGATCCTCGCCTTCTGCCTCTCGGGCCACGACTCGGGCCCCTGGTGGCCGCTCGGAACAAATTCGGCACCCCCAGGAGCGCTCTGGGCGGGGCGCAGCTGCTGGCAAGCACCCCGAGGCTGGAAGACCGACGAGAACGCACGAAAGCCTCAAGCCTCGAACCCCTCGTCCGAAAACCTAGAAGACCTCACATCCCTCTCGCGCAGGTCTCTGTCGGGGAGACGTAAGACTCGGGTACGGGGGACTCGGGTTGGCTTGACAGGGGCCATCATGAAAATGACGAGACCCAGTCTGAAATTTGACGCGGGCTCCCGCTGCAAACATCCTACGAAAACGGGACCGTCAAAATCCAGGACGCGCTCGTCAAAAGAAAACGACAAACCCGAGTTCCGGTTTACTCGAGTCTTACGTTTCCCCGAATCTGGCCTCAGGCCAGGCCTCCCGGTTGGTACAGTCGGCCCGTATCATAAGGATGCGCGATGAGGATGCAAGGGCCTCGGACGCTCACTTCGAAGCTTTGCGAGCGGGGCGTGGCCAAACGAAAGTGGCCAAGGACCGAGGAGGCAAGGATGCAAAGGCTTGGGAAGGTTGCCCTGCCTTACTATGCGGGTGGACTGTATGACCTCCCGGCCGGGCAACGGGAAAGGGGGCCAGCATCTTCGGTGGCAACTCATGGGAGCCTCCCGCACCAGCTCGTCGGCTCTTGCGAATCGACGCCAAATCGACCCCGTTTTCCTCGGGACCCGCCCCTAGACACGGTCGCGTCGTAAGAAAAGCAGGACGGGCGGTTTTTGGCTATGTCAGGCCCTGGGGAGCCCTCGCCGGGCCTCGGGACAAGCGGGTCCTTGTTGGGAAAGGCCCACCCCGACTTCGGATCCGCCGTATTTTGGGGGTTATCGGCGCTACCTCATCGACGCTGACCGACGCTGACCGACGCTGAAGACGGCACTGCGAGGGCACTGCGAGGGCACGCAGGGCCCCCGACAGCAGCCGGCACGTGGCCCTGAGCCCCACGGGCGGGCCCGCGAGGAGCTCGCGGGCCGCCTCGGAAGAGGTCACCGGTCGAGGCAGCGCCGGCCCTCCCCGGCGCCGTCTGCACCGCTCGTTTTCTTTTGTTGTCGGGGGCCTCTCCCGGGAGGCTCCTCCACATGCGAGCCCCACCCTCCCCCTCAGAGAAGTCGTGGGGGGCAGGGGTGGGGCTCGCATGTGGCCCCCTATCCTCGCCGCCACGACGGTGGAGGGGACGCTGACCGACGCTGAAGACGGCACTGCGAGGGCACGCAATAGGGGGCCACATGCGAACACTACTCCTACCCCCCACGATTTCTGAGGGGGGTAGGGGTAGGGTTCGCATGTGGCCCCCTGTCCTCGCCGCCACGCGGTGGAGGGGACGCCCGCGTGGAGGGCAGGGGCCGCGGCAGCGGCGGCCCTCCCTGAGGCGCCCCTCGTGGGGGCCTCTCGTCGCCGCGGCGGGAGCCTGCGTCGCAGAGTGGGCGGCGAGCGAGGGGAGGGGGCGAGAGGAGGGAAGGGGCGAGCGAGGGGAGGGGGCGAGCGAGGGGGCGAGGGGAGGGGGCGAGCGAGGGGAAGGGGCGAGAGGAGGGCAAGGCCTCCGCTCGGAAGGTTCGGAGGTCCCCCCCCCCGGCCTTCCGAGAGGTCTTCTCGGCCGTCCCGGCAGCTATAAAAAAAACCCTCGGAAGGCGAAAGTAGAGGCCTGCTAGGTGGGGTTCGAGTAGACGGGGTCGGAGGACTGCACCCGATCGCCGACGCATCGCCGATGCATCGGCGATGCGGCGAGATCCTCCAACCCCATCCATTCGGACTCCATCTGGGAGGCCTAGAGAAAGGGCTGCTGAGAAGCTTCCCTCGCCGCCGAGAAAAGGGTGCCAGGATGGACGCGGGGAGGGGCCCGGGGACCGACCTTGAGCGCGGACGAGGCCCCGGCGGGAGAGCCACCGCCGTCGTCTCGCTTGGCCCTCCTCCGAGCGCCGAAGGACACCCCAGGAGGTTCGGCGGCGCGGTTTCGTCGCGGCGTGGACTCCTGGACCTCGCGACCCCTCCCTGGGGTCAGGTCGGGCATGACCTCCCACTGGCTGATTTGGGACGAAAAATTAAGTCCCAAAATGTTCAAACATAATCGTATTCTTGTTGGAAAAATTGAAACCAACAATCATAATAATAAAAAACAAACTATATTTCACCATTGTTGAATATTCCGCATGTAGAAAAGACACGACCGACTTAACCCTGGGGTCTGCTCTTTGTGCCGCGCAGTCTCGTTGGCGGCCCTGGGGCGCAGAACGGGTCCCCTGGGGGGCGGGGGCAAGACAGTAACAAAAAGAGCGGCCGCGTCGATGTTGTTCGAGCAGCTGGATCTCTGGTTCGGACGCTGGGAATGGTCACGGAAAAGATGGACACGATACGCCGTAGCGATGTTTGTCCAAAACCGACAGCGGCAGCTGTTGGGCAGGCGACTGGTTGTCTCACATGGGCAACGTCCGCGGCGACACCGACAGCGAGTCCTGCTCAGAATGGACGGGAACTGAGGCCAGTCGTCGTCCCCATTCTTTCCATACCCATTTCGATCTCACCGATCTGGATACGGTAAAATAATGTCTTGACGACTTCGGCGTGAGTCTCTGATACCGCGTGGATGGTTCAACCTTAAAACGTCAATGGCATTTCGATCGCCAGGTCGCTCCATATATGATCGTGGGCTCTGGGCCCACGGGCCCCCCCGCCCCCAGATGGGATGGGTCCCAGGGTCCTCGGGCCCCCCCCCCCCCAGATGGGATGGGGGAGGGGAGGAGGAGGAGGAGGAGGAGGAGGAGGAGGAGGAGGAGGAGGACGACGACGACGACGACGACGACGACGAAGACACAGTCCGCTCCAGCTCCCTGAAGCACCGGAACACAACGCCACACCCAGAACGAGGCGACGACGGTGAAAACGAGGCCGATCCGACGACGACGATCCTAACCTTGGAACGTGGCCCATCCTCCTCCTCCTCCTCCTCCTCCTCCTCCTCCTCCTCCTCCTCCTCCTCCTCCGATGACGACGACGACGACGACGACACGACGGCGACGGCGGCGCCAGCGACGCCGACTCTTGGCTGAGGCGGACCCCTAACCACCGCACACCCACAGGGGGCACCCCACGCCCACGCCCACAGGGGGGGGGCCATCGCGCGGCGGGGGGTGGGGCCGATGGCATAGCATTGGGGGGGGGCCCAAACCCTCACCATAGATTGGCCGGTCCTGGGCAGCCGGCAACCTTGAACGCCCGTGCTGGGGTCGCAGCCGAGCCGACACGGCGCGAACCTGCCGTGCGTTCCCTCTCCCGTATTTTGATTTTCGATGTGGATCAGAATCAAGCGCCGACTCCCAGGCGGCAAGCAGGGACCCTGCGAGGCCCGAAAAAGACACACGAGCGAGGGCCACAGGAAGACACCACGGCGGAGGGACAGCGACCGAGCGAAGAGCCGAGGCCCGAAACCCGAAGGGACGCGCCACGCAAGTAGAGGCCTTCCAGATGGGGTCGGAGTAGGTGGGGTCGGGGGATCGCGCCGCATCGGCGATACATCGGCAACGCATCGCCGATGCATCGGAGATGCACTCGCGACGTCGGCGATGCATCGGCGAAATCGGCGCGGAGAAGATCGGGCTCCACATCGAGCCGCATCGCCGATACATCGCCGATGCGGCGCGATCTTCCGACCCCATGCACTCCGACCCTATCTGGGAGGCCCAGAGCAAGGCAAAAAGGAGGATGATGCCTGCCGAAGGTCGAGAATATGGAAGAAGAACAATAGAGCAACAACAAAAATGATAAACATTATCCCGGCAAAGCAACCTAACAGCGATGTGTAGGAGCATATATGGAAGCATTCCCCTTAAGATTCAGTTGTAGAATTCTGCTGTTCTCGCAGTCGTAGTCGCATTCGCGATGACAGTCGCAGTGGCAACGGCAGTCGCAGTCAGCCTCAGCCTCAGCCAGCCTCAGCCTCAGCCTCAGCCTGCCTCAGCCTCAGCCTGCCTCAGCCTCAGCCTCAGCCTGCCTCTGCCTCAGCCTCTCAGCCTGCTTCAGCCTCAGCCTCAGCCTCAGCCTGCCAGCCTCAGCCTCAGCCTCAGGCCTCAGCCTCAGCCTCAGCCTCAGCCTGCCTCAGCCTCAGCCTCAGCCTGCTTCAGCCTCAGCCTCAGTCTGCCTTCAGCCTCGGCCTCAGCCTCAGCCTGCCTCAGCCTCAGCCTGCATCAGCCTCAGCCTCAGCCTCAGCCTGCCTCAGCATCAGCCTGCCTCAGCCTCAGCCTCAGCCTCAGCCTGCTGCTTCAGCCTCAGCCTCAGTCTGCCTGCCTCAGCCTCAGCCTCAGCCTCAGCCTGCCTCAGCCTCAGCCTCACTCCTCTTCAGCCTCCTCCTCAGCCTGCCTCAGCCTCAGCCTCAGCCTGCCTCAGCCTCAGCATCAGCCTGCCTCAGCATTCAAAATGTGGCCCGGGAATGGAGTTCTGGGAACTCGAAGAACACGAAGTGGCCTACAGTTGGCTCCGGGCATTCAAAATCATGCCCGGGAATGGAGTTCTGGGAACTCGAAGACCACGAAGTGGCCTACAGTTGGCTCCGGGCATTCAAAATAGGAATGGAGTTCTGGGAATTGAAGAGCACGAAGTGGCCTACAGTTGGCTCCGGGCATCCAAAATGTGGCCCGGGAATGGAGTTCTGGGAACTCGAAGAGCACGAAGTGGCCTACAGTTGGCTCCGGGCATCCAAAATGTGGCCCGGGAATGGAGTTCTGGGAACTCGAAGAGCACGAAGTGGCCTACAGTTGGCTCCGGGCATCCAATATGTGGCCCGGGAATGGAGTTCTGGGAGGTGGGAGTCATCAGATGCTCTCTTTTGACCGCATTAGAAACCTATCAATCTTCGCTGTTAGGTAATAAACTTCTGGCGTTCCGCGTGGATTTTTTGGATCCGCGATGGACCCCCCTCCCTGGCGGGCGGAGCGCGCCAAAGGCGGCGCCGGAGGCGCCGCTGGGGGGGTCCCATCGCCGATTCAAGAAATCCGCGCGGAGCGCCGAAAGTTCATGAATATGTAATATTCCTTCTTCGAAGCAGGGCAGAAAGGAGATGATGCCTGCCGAAGGTCGAGGGTAGGGAAGGAGAGCGGGTCGACGGAGATAGCCCGAACAAGACAAACGCCATGGCGGAGGGACAACGACCGAGCAAAGAGCCGAGGCCCGAAACCGGAAGGGACACGCCAAGCAGGGCAAGAGAGGAGACGCTGCCTGCCGAAGGTCGAGGGTCGGGAAGAAGAGCGGGTCGACGCAGATGGCCCGGACGTGCTCGTTGCCGTAGAGGTCGAGCAGACGCAGGCGCACCCAGCTGCGCTCCAAAGGCCCTCGGCCGCCTGCGGCCGGCGCCGCCACTGCCCGGAGGACGTCCCCGAGGTCCTGCCGGGCGCGCCGAACCCAGACGAGCGCCCTGGTACGAAACACGAAGGACCCTGAGATCCTGGCGTCGCAATCTTTTCACAACGGGCGTTTTCGCCGTTATTTCGGGCCCCGGGACCCTCACAGATCGATCCAGCTCGAAAAATGATGCAGAAGTTTCTGCATCATCGAAAAATCACGCCTGGAGCCCCGGACCCCATCTGAAAATGGGGTCCGGGGCTCCAGGCGTGATTTTTCGCGATGTTGTATTTTTTTCGCGACGTTGGATCTCAGGGGAGTTCGGGTGTTGCCAGATGTGTCCCTGGCCCAAGGCGCCCCTAGGATTTCCAAGGAAGCCCCCGCGGCCTCCAGAGCAGCCTTCACGAGGGCGGGGGGGGGGGCGCGGGGGGCACTTGAGGTTCCAAGACAAAGGGCCCGACAGTGAAAAGGGCCCGACAGTGAAACGCGCGCAGTGTTTCGCTGTCTCCCCAACCATAAACACATTGCACAAACAAGCAGCGGTTCGTGGGGCCAAGGGCGCCAAGCACTGCGTGATATTGGCGCCCTGGCTTTGCAGCGAGCAGAATCAAGGTGCAGGAGGGGGAAAGGCGAAAAGGGGCCCCGAGGGCCCCAGGGGCTCCAGAGAGCAACGAAAAGCTGGGGGCACCTTGGGCCAGGGGCACCCTGAGCAGCCCCCGGGGAGTGTTCATGTGCCTTGGTCTCCGGTGCCCGAGGCCGCCTCCCTACACCCCTCGCAGCGAAGTTACTCTACGACTCAGGCCTCCTCCAGCGTTCCTCCTCCTCCTCCTCCTCCTCCTTCTCCTCCTCCTCCTTCTCCTTCTCCTTGGGCTCCTCCTCCTCCTCCTCCTCCTCCTCCGCGGCCGCCTTCCTCTTCCCCTGGTCGCATGTGTATGCCTCTGGCTTACCGCCCGCCCCGTCCCCGTTTTCCTTCGGCCGCGTCATCTCCTCGCTCCTCCTCTTGCGTGGCGGCTATTCGCTCCAACGGGTTTCTGCCTCTCCTTGCCAGCGCAGTCACCCTCTGCCCAGCCGCCGACGCAAAAAGCGTGCGTGCCCCTGGTTGCGGCGCGGCCCGCAGACCATCCCGACTCGCTGGCGTCTGCCCGCGCTGCTGGCAAGCAGGCGATGAGGTGTTCTGCGGCCTCTCGACCTGCGGAGGCCCTCTCTCTGGGCCCGGGGGCCGTGGAGGACAACTCGGGATGGAGAGGTGGCCCCGGGGAGCGGGTCGGGACTTCCGGGGGCGAACAAAGCAAGATGCCGGATGCATGGGAAGAGGAGACGCCAGGAAGAGGGGGGGTAGCATACGTCATGCTCCGAGGCATGTGCGCGGAAGCTGGGGGGCCAAGCGACCCGTTGGAAGAAATGAGTGGCAGCGTTCATACGCATCTGCGTAGGAAGAGTGATACGAATGATAGGACTGATGACAACGGTGATAGGGATACGAATGATATTAATGTTACGAACGGTACTAGTGCACAAGAAAACAATAACGATAGTAACAACACTGATACGATTGATGCTGATAATCACAACGATCGAACACACATGGATAACCAGCGTGGGCCCCAGACAATGCGTTTCTAACAACATGTATTATGCAAACATGTGCGGCAATATTCGGTGCAATCCGTGTGGTGCAGTGTATGCGGTGCATGATATCTGGTGCAATATATCTCTGTATGTATATATATATATATAGATATGTGTGTATATGGTGCGATGGATGTTGTGCAAGCTAGGATGTGCAATCTGTATACATGTATACACGGTGCAATCCACGGTGTGCGATCTATGTTGGGCAATATGTGCGGTGCCATCTATGTGTGGTACAACGCATGTGGTCAAATCTACGCAGTGCGATATATGTGGTGCAATCTATGTGGTGCAAGTATGCGAGGCCGCGACGAGACGGCGACGGCGACAACATAGCCGCCAGACCGCCACACAGGCCCAAACGACGGGCGGCGACGAGGCGGCGACGGGGCGGCAACGGCGACAACATAGCCGCCAGACCGCCACACCAGCCCAGTTCCTTAGAACAGCAGAAAGAACCCCTAAGTCCAAGCTCTGTCGAGGAAAAGAGAAGAAATAATATAAACAAAACGAACACGCAAAAAACTAGAAGAAGAAAACTGCAGAGGGAACCGTCAGATCTGGGAGATCTCATGGCCTCGGCCGTGGTACCCGCACCACCCTGGCCCCCCAAACCCCTCTTTTGGACGCCCCCGGTCCTGCACGGGAGTGCCGCCCAGCTCCATCAAGAAGGAGACGGCGGGAGGGCCAAAAGCGGCACCGGCAGAACCCTTCGGAGGTCCGCGCCAGTCTCTGGGAGGTCTGCCCCTCTCCCTGCCACGGACAATACTATCGGCGGCGCGCAGAGGGGCGTGGGGAGAGGGGGGGGGGAAGCTTCTCAGAAGGAGGCTGCTTCTCAGAAGGCGCACGCCTTCTGAGAAGGCCCACGCCTTCTAAGAAGCAGGGGTGCTTCTAAGCAGCCTTCCCCCCTCCCCCCCCACCCCCTCTGCGCGTGGCCGAATCTACTGACCCAGGTCAGTGCGAACCCAGGTCAGTCGGGCGTTGCAGGATCCTGCAAGATATCCAGCAGGATCCTGCAGGATCCTGCGCGCCTGGCCTGGGTCAGTGCGGCCCTGGCTCTGCAAGGTCCTGCGGGGTCCGGAGCTCTGGCTGACCCTCGCTTGCATGGGCTCCACTCCCCAGCGCGCGGAGCGCGCTGGGCTGGCGCTAGGCGCGCGGCTGGGAGTGTGGGGGGCTGGGGGGGGGGGGGGAGGGCGACGGTGAAAACGCGTGACCGGTGGAAAGAAGTGGGCCTTACGCACAATGGCACAGCGACATTGCGCAGGCCGCGAGCGCGGCACGCTGCAGTGGAAACGAGGGCGCTGACGCGCGACTGTACGCAGGCAGCTTACGCGCGAATGTCCGCGCAGACGACTCCGTTGTCCTTCCTCGCCCACGTGTCAGCACTCGCATTCTCGTGCAAGCCTTAGTGCAGCGGTGCAGCTCTGGAGGAGCTGCAGCTGCAGCTGGCAGCCACCGGTGCAGCAGTCCAGCTGGGGGGAGGGGCAAGCGCCGATCCGAGAAAGCCGCGCGGACCTCGGAGATCTTCAGAACTCCTCAGACGTACCACCGGGTCCCTGGAGATCCCGACGGTCTCCAGAGTTTCCAAAGTGGCTCTGGAGGCCCAAAATGGCCAAGATGAGCCTGGCGCGACCCCAATTACGGGAAAAAGTTGGGTACTTATGATTCGCGATAACGCGCATGACCGGCCCCGCCCCCCCCCCAGCCCCCCCAGTGAGGTCATGATTCGCGCCAGCGCCGTGCGGGAAAGAGCCATCCCTCAGCATTCCCAAACGGCATTCCCCCCTCCCCCACTTGCCACGCCAGATATCGTCAGGGGACAAAAAACAGTCTCAAAGCTGTCTGAGCAAATGGCCAAGCAAGGACAACAGTAATCGGCAATGCTTTGCGTTGGCGTTGCTTGGCATTGCTGGGCATTGTTCGGCATTGTTTGGTATTGTTTGGCATTGATTGGCATGGCTTGGCATTGCCTGACAACCAAAGAAGCGGGCAACCCGGCAACCAAGCAACCCGACGAAAGACGGACAACCCGGCAAATGGGCAACCGAGCAACCCGGGCGATCGAGGTAACCGGGCAAGAACAGGTAACCCGAGGAACGCCAGCCAGCGCAAGCCTGTCACACACTGGATCTTCAAAAAAACAATCAGAAAACTTCGTCGGGCAAAATTACCCTGTGACGCACCCGACCCATTTGCATTGAGTGACGAAAGGAATCCGCTAAATTTGCATGGGCAACGACCCTGTAGACGCCGTCAATTGCTGCGCGAGCTATATGGGAAGCGCGCGCGTTGAACGACTCACTGGGCAACAACAGACGGACGACGAATAAGGCTCCAGGCTCGAAGAGGAAATCGGGGTGGAAACGAGGGGCAGCAGAAATATGCGAGGGGAGCGGAAAAGTCGGCGCGGCAGCAGCAGGGAGACGGTGGAAGCAGGAAGAGGCGACAACGAAAGAGGCGGGATCGAAAAGAAAGGTAGCGTTTTTTGTTTTACCAATTGCACACTGGACATGCATCGCGGCCTGCGCAATGTCGCCCTCGTGCTCCAAAAGGATAAGGTCATTACAGCTAATGCAAGAAGCGAGCGAGGCCCACATCGCCCGACAATTAATTTCGCAGATTGCAGCCCCCTCCCCAGGGATGGCGAGGCTGAATCTGAATATGCGTAACGCGTCACTCTGGTGGACCCCCGAACAGCCCTCGAACGTGGCGACAGCTTCGCAGATCGCAGCCCCCATTGGATGGCGAAATTGAATCTGGATCTGCGTAGCGCGTCACTCCGATGGACCCCCGAACAGCCCTCGAACTTGGCGACAGCTTCGCAGATCGCAGCCCCCAGGGAGAGGAGAAGAGGAAGGGAAGAGAGGAGGAGAGCAGGGAGGAGGAGGGAAGAGACGAGGAGGGAGGAGGGAAGCGGGAGGAAGGACGCGACCGCAGTGCTCTCTTTGTTCAACACGAGAACCGACGCAGGAGGGCCAGGAATAACATCCAGGGCCTCCACCCCCGATCCGGAAGGGTCATGCCCGTGCCGTTTTTTTGCGTTTGCCCTCCCAGGCAGGGTATCATGTCCCGGGCGTCCGCGGGGGACCCCCCGAGGATGTTCTGCACGAAGACGCCGCCCGCCGCGCTGGCCACGCTGTCGCCGCAGCGCTCCAGGACGCACCGCGGCGTCCGCCGCAGCACCAGCCCCGCCCAAATGACCAGGCGCGGGTCGATCGCCGACCCGAGCAGGGCCGGCGTGACCTCTGGGAGCCCCACTCGGCGGCGCGCCCTTCAGGGGGGGGGCGGGGGTGCGCGGCCCTGAGATCATAGGGTCTCGACCTCTTCGAGGCGGGCGTCTCCGCCCAACGTCGGGGCCTCCCCGGGCCCCACAGATCGATCCTGCTCGAAAACTGGCGCGGAGAAATCGGGGATCTGGGGCTCCGGGCGTGATTTTCCACAAGGCTGCGTATGTTCGATCGCTCCGTCGGTCTTCTCCGACCCCATCTAGGAGGCCTCGAACTTGGCCCCCCCGAGACCTCGTGAAAAACACGCACAGAGCCCAGGACCCCATCGTTCCGCGCCGTTTTTTCGAGCTGGATCGATCTGTGAGGAGGAGGAGGAGGGGGAGGGGGAGGAGGAGGAGGAGGAGGAGGAGGAGGAGGAGGAGGAGGAGGAGGAGGAGGAGGAGGAGGAGGAGGAGGAGGAGGAGGAAGGTCCCGGTGCCCGAGGCCTGGCGAAAACACCCGCCTCGGAGAAAAAATGGAGACGCCAGGACCTCAGGGCCTGGGCCCGCCCGCTCGAGACCTCCACCTTCACCTCCACCTCCATCCAGGGCTGGACCTAAACGTTGCTTTTCGCATTGTTGTCGTTTTGTTGTTAGTTCTGCTCTGCCTGTTTTCCTGTACCTCCCCCTGCCAAAACACAAAAACAGCCGAAGTCCAGCAAAACAGCGTGTAGGTCCAGCCCTGCATCCATCTGGTGAGGGGCACGGATAGGGGGGGTAGGGACAGGGGGGGGACATTGCCCTGGAATCGGCGATGCATCGCCGACGGATCGGCGATAGGCCCCCGACGGTGAATCCGCGCGTTCCTAAGCAGGCTGGGGCCACTGGGCCCGCATCGGCGATCCGTGGACGATTGGGGGGTCGATGCGTCCCCCCCCCCTATGCCTACAGTGGAGGCCAGTCCACAGAAAACCTTCCACAAGAAACCCAACCCTGAGACCCCAGGACGTCCACTGATTTTTGGCGTGGGAACGTCACGCTTGCCATCGCAAGACCATCGAGACCCAAGAAACCCGGGGCACCCTGGAGGCAAGCAGGGTGCTTCTTACCCCCCCCGATCGCTGCCCCTGATCTGGGGGAGGCCTCGAGTCTGGGCCCACGGTGTCCCCATTTCTCCCGCACCGGGGGCCCCTGGAACGCCCGGCTCCCCTCCCCCCGAGCTGATCTGCCTCACCCCGCGTCGTGTCCTCGACGGCCCCGTGGCCCCGCGAGGGCCCCCCGGGAGCGGCACAAAAACGGCTGCACCTCCTCTCGCCGTGCGAGCAGGCCCGTCGGCGGCGAGCGAGCGAAGGGGGGGGGGGAAGGTGAGCGGGAGAAGGCCCTCTCAGAAGGCGGCGGGGCTTCTCAGAAGCCCTCCGGCCGTCTGAGAAGCTCTCGGCGTCCTTCGGGGAAGGCCCGGAAAAGCTGCCTTCTGAGAAGGCCCGCCCCCTCTCGCTTCCCCCCCGGGCTCGCCGTCGAGTCTGGGGACCTGTCCCTACTCCTGAGATGAGCAGGCCAGAAGCGATGATCTCAGGGGATGTTCCCCCAGAAACTGAGGGAGTCCTCTCAAGATGGGCATCGAGGAGAGGTGATGCTAAACATAGGTGAGCGTTTTTCTATTCGGCGTTTCGACATTGGGCGGCAAAGGGGGGAGGGAGGGGTCTGGCTCCGGACCTCTGCTTAATGCGACTGTTTGCAAAAGTGCATTCTATGGGGGAGACTCCACCTGCTCGAAACAGGCGCCCAAAACAGCCAAGATTCACTCCATTGGGGGGGGAGGGGAGGGGGGTGCGAGGGCCCTCGCCGATCGGCAAAGCACCGCACAAGAGAAACGACCACTGGGGATAGGGGCATGCTTCAAACTGGCACGTCTGCGGGCCTCCACCTCCACCTCGGCCCCCTCTCGGAACACGGCCACCGTCAGTGCCCCAGCCGGGGCGGCGGTCGCACCCGCGGGCCGCTTCCTCGCGGCGCCCGCGCGGGCGCTCGCGCGCGGCCTTGCGCGCCGCGCCCCCGCGGGGCCCTCGCCCCGCAGCGCGGCCTCCAGCTCCTGCCAGGCGCGCCGAACCCATCATCAGCAGCAGCATCATCATCGCTATCATCCTGACGATCACCACCACCACCACCACGGCCACCACCACCACCACCACCACCACCGCAACCATCATAATCATCATCATCATCATCATCATCATCATCATCATCATCATCATCATCATCATCATCATCATCATCATCATCATCATCATCATCAGCATCAGCATCAGCATCATCATCAGCATCATCATCATCATCATCATCATCATCATCATCATCATCATCATCATCATCATCATCATCATCATCATCATCATCATCATCATCATCATCATCATCATCACCATCACCATCACCATCATCATCATCATCATCAGCAGCAGCAGCAGCATCAGCATCAGCATCAGCATCAGCATCAGCATCATAATCATCATCATCATCATCATCATCAGCAGCAGCAGCATCAGCATCATGATCATCGTGATCATCACCATCATGATCATCATCAACAGCAGCAGCATCATCGTCACCATCATCACCATCATCACCATCATCATCATCATCATCATCATCATCATCATCATCATCATCATCATCATCATCATCATCATCATCATCGCCATTAGCGGCAGCAGCAGCAGCAGCGTCGTCGTCTTCACCACCACCACCAGCATCATCATCATCACCATCATCATCACTTGAGGCTCCTGCCTGGCGCGCCGAATCCAAACTTGCGTCGTGAAGAAGCGCGGGCGCGAGGTTTCTTGCAGCCCTCGGCCATGGGGGGTCCTGAGCCGGGCCCCCAGGAACCGTCAAGAAATTACTCGGGATGAAAAAGCTGGCTCTGGGGGAAGGGTCGGGGCTTCTGGGGACCCCGTGCTGAAAATCAGGACATCGTAGGCCCGAACTCCAGGCCTCCCAGGTGGAGGTGGAGGTGGAGGTGGAGGGCCTCCGGAAGACCCAAGCCATGAGATCCTGGCGCCTCAACTTTCTCGAGCCCGGCGTTTTTATTCCTGGCACCGGGCCCCGGGACCCTGCACTGGAAAGACAGCACCTCGGATATGTGGGAAAAGAGGGGGTCAAGAAGAGAGGGGTGAGCGCACCGTGGCCCGAGGCACGCGGGCGGACAAGGGCGGGGGCCCGGGGGCGTGTCCAAAGAAGAGACGGGGGAGGGGCCGAGAGATCTGGGCGGCATCGTGGCCCCGGCCATGAGATCCACACGCCCCTGGCCCCCCCCCCTCTGGACGCCCCCGACTCCTGGCTGCTGCCCACGTGCCGCCCGCCCACCCTCAGCAGCACGTCCCCGGGGCGCAGCAGGCCCTTGGCGACCCCCGTGGGCAGCACCCGGCTGACGCGGATGGCGCGCGGGACCGTGCCGCGGCCGCTGCACTGCCGCTGCACGGCTCGCAGCCAGGAGCCGGGGAGCGCGCCGGACGTGCCCCGCGCCAGGGTGGCCACGTCAAGCGCATTCACCTCCACGTCGAGCGACGGCACCTGGCGGGGCAGCTGCCCTGGGGAAGTGCAGTGCCCCTTGTGGCGCCTCTCGAGGGAGGTCTTCTCCCCACTCCCAACCACACTTCCGATCGACCCACCTGTCTCGTGCCTCATGCCTCGTGCCTCCTGCCTCGTGCCTCGTGCCTCCCGCCTCGTGCCTGCGGCCTCCCGCCTCCCGCCTCCCGCCTCCCGCCTCCCGCCTCCCGCCTCCCGCCTCCCGCCTCCTGCCTCATGCCTCCTGCCTCCTGTCCCCTGCCTCCTGCCTCATGCCTCCTGCCTCCTGCCTCCTGCCTCCTGTCTCCTCCTCCTCCTCCTCGTCCTCTTCCTCCTCGTCCTCCTCCTCCTCCTCCTCATCCTTCTCCTCGTCTAGTCGTTTTCCTTACCAATAACTCCTACCTGTCGCACCCTGAGACCGGTCAAAAAGGCGGCCCGGGCTTTTCGCCTGAGACTTCCTCACCATTCGTGGCCCTAAAGCTCAACAGGTGGCAACAGCTCCACAGATGGAGGGCGGGCCGCTTCCAATGTATATATATATATATATATATATAGATCTCGCCTTAGCGCCGCGCACACTCGTCTTCAACAATTGAAAGAGTTTCACGGATTGAGGACGGGACGTTTTCAACATGTGGCTCTCGCCTTAGAGCCGCGCGCACTTGTCGTAAAAAAACTGCCAGATGTTCACGGATTGAGGGCGGCTCCTCTTCAAAATGTGGCTCTCGCCTCAGCGCCGCGCACGTTCGTTGAACCAGCATTACAAGAGTTTCACGGATTCGCATGTCTACCACACCAGAAATTGTGTTTGGGAGCGATGCAGGATTGCCAAGGCGCAACAGGTACGTTTACTCGCGGTGTTGAAGTCCCAGGAACAGTGTTCTGGCACGATTCAGGATCGTCAAGACGCAACGGTCAAGTTGATTCGGGACGCGGGAGTCCCGAGAAAGGTGTTCTGGCGCGATTCAGGATCTTCAGACGGTTATCTCCCAACGCGGCACTTCCCCCAGTGGGAATGGATGATTGCAGAGGCCTATGAAGAGGGAGCTTGGAGGGATGTTTCATTCCTTGGGTTTACACTGGTCCTCCTCCTCTTCCTCCTCCTCCTCGCCTCATCCGCCCACTCCTCTTCCCCCCCTTGTGCCACTCCCTCCTCTCTCCCGCGCGCTCCCGCCTCCCTCCCCCATCCGCCCGCTCCCCCTCCTGCCCCCCCATCCACCGACCCCCTTCTCTCCTCGCTCCCCCATCAACAACGACGACGACGCCGCCGACGACGGCGAACGGACGGGCGCCATGGGGGGCTCGTCGGGCCGCTGCTTGAGCGCGGCCAGGAGGGGCGCGAACACGCTGGCGGAGATCCCGAACGCCTCCGTCGTCTCCTCGCGGGCGGGGGGGGGGCGACGCCGGGCAGCACTCCAGCAGCGCAGCGTGGTCGCCGGCTGCATCGGCCCCACGAGGGGCAGACAGAAGGAGAGGACGAGAACGAGGAGGACGAGGAGGACAAGGAGGGGAGAGAGGGAAAGAACGAGGAGGACCAGGAGGAGGGCGAGGCTGGACTTGGGGGGTGAGGACGAGGAGGACGGAGAGGAGGGGGCGAGGGAAGGAGGCGGAGAAGGAGGAGGAAGAGATGAGAGTAGAGCGGGAGGGGGGGAAGGGGTGGGATAAAGGAGAGCAGAAACAAGCAGGAGTGCGATGACTGGAGCGGGAGGGTGGCGAGGGGGAGAAGGGGCGAAGAAGGGGGATGCGCGAACTCGGTGTGCAGACCGCTCCCGCCGCGGCGAAGAAGCGCGCGGCCTCCACGCAGCAGCCCGTCGCCCACGCAGTCGTTCGGTGTCCCCGGGTGGAGGGGCCAGCGGTGGGCGAGGGGCAGAGCTGACGGAGGGCGGCTGGCGCGGGAGCCCGACCGCCCAGACCCGAGCCCCCCCCCCCCCCGCAGCACGCGGGCGGGCGCGTGCCCAGGCCACTAGGGGCATTGGCGGGAGGCAAGCACGGCGGCGAGCAGCGAACGGGCAGATCGGGGGAGGGAGAGGGAGCTGACGGCGCGCGGTGCAAGAAGCACAGAGGGGAGGGGCAGAGGCGAGAGAGAGAGAGAGAGAACAAAAAAAAAAGAACAGCGGGGAACCGAACAAAAACACGAAAAACGGCGGCCCACGCAGCCGGCACGACAGACAGGAGAGGGAGGGGGGGCACGGCGAGAGACAGAGACGGGGCGGGAGCACGGCACGACAGAGCCGCAGAGGGAGGGCAGGCAGGAGAGGGCGACCGAATGACGCTCACCTGAAGCCTGCGGCCCATGGCGCTCTGGAGGAGGGTGTTCGGGCGAAAACCGGGGCGGCCGCACGAGCCTCGCAGCTCGCCCGCAGCCTGCCCCCGAGGCGCGTGCCAACGCGACGGCCTGGCAGGTGCTTCCGCTTGTCGCGAGAGGCCAGGCCAGGTGCGATGTTGACTCACGACGGCCTGCCAGGCGTCACAGGGCGCCGTCAAGGAGGAGGGGAAGTCCCGACCAGAACAAGCATGACGAGTCTCTCTCTCTCTCTCTCGGGCGGAGCCGCCGAACTTGCGCAGTGTCAGGGCCAAGACAGCAGGGTGGCGGCACGGCGAGCTGCCAGGCGTTTCAAGTCGCTGCAGGGGGTTGGCTGGGGCGGAGGGAGGCAAAGACTGCAGCTAGCAGTTTGGAAAGACCAGGTGCACTGTCGGCAATGCAGATAATAACTCAACGGCTTCAGCGCCGACCCCTCGCGCGATCTACCTCTCGACACACGCGAGTCAGGGCCGCTAACTTTTCGCGATCAGCGAGACGGTGTTCGGGCCACCTTGAAGCAGCAGTCAGACATGTACCGAAGACCATCACACTCAATGACGGCCAGTGGGGAAGACTGCGACCCATCACAATCACACCACAGTGAGCGCACGGCTGATCTGAATAGGGGCGCCAGAGACCGAGTCAAGAGACCACATCAGCAGGCCATGGCGAGCAGCAGGAAGAGGAGGAGGAGGAGGAGGAGGAGGAGGAGGAGGAGCGGAGGAGGAGGAGGAGGAGGAGGAGGAGGAGGAGGAGGAGGAAGGGGAGGAGAGGGCTGGTCGGCGTGACGCGGTAATTAACATCGGGCGGCGCCTCAACGACAGACTCGCGCGAGTGCGTCCCGCGTCCCCTGGACCATCGACTCCGGGGGCCAGGGGGCGCGCGCTCACCCTCCCCCGCGCGCGCGCGGGGAAGAGCTGGAGGGCTTGGTTCGCCACGGGGGGCCTCATGAGGCCCAGGCCTGGGTACAAAAAGACGATGCGAGAACAGAGAGCCAAGCTCGACACTGGGGTTAGGTCGGGCATGCCCCCCTACAGGCGGATTCCGGAAGGAAAATACCGCATAGCCAACATAGTCGGAACATCGTCCCCGCACTATTGTTTGACTATGTTCGGGTATTCCTCCTGTGGAGGGACATGCCCGATTTAGCTGAAGAGAGCGGGGATAATACATGAAATGATGTCATCGAACAACAACAGGTTGCCATACCAAAACGGGCTGTCATACAATAACGAGGACACATGTTGTCCGCCCCCTCAAGCTCAAGCTGTCTGCAGGGACCAGGAAGCGGGTTGCATGTGGGACCATATGTATTCCTCACTTGCAGCAGCATCGTTTAGGAAATCCAGTGGTGCATGCGACGTTGCTTCGAGCATCGTACGAAGATCAGTCTGAATTAGGTGCGTCCATTATTGCATACACAGTGTAGAACTGGCGGGAGAGACGGGTTTGCAGCAAAACTTCCAAAACTCCGCAGCCGTTTTTTTGCCTCAGAGGCCCCGTAAGGGGCCGTGCTAGCAGCACGCATTTACTGTACACGCGTTGAGTCCAGGAAAAAGTCCTTGTGTCCTGCGCTAAAAGGCCGCGCCACGAGAGGCGGCCCCTGGGGGCGACCCAGAGAGCACGAGAGGCAAGGATGAGGAAGGAGGGAGGTGGGAGGAGGACGAGGAGGACGAGGAGGATGTGGGAGGAGGAGGAGGAGGAGGAGGAGGAGGAGGAGGAGGAGGAGAACGAGGGGGAGGAGGAGGAGGACGTGGG